TGGATTCTTGGACCATACTCAGATCCTCAGCATTGGTGGCAAGCAGCTTTACTCACTAAGCCATCTTACCAGCTCTGCACTTTTTTTTTCAAGTGTAGAGTTGGTAAGTTACTTGCTATGAGATGGTTACTTGTATCCAGTGTTGACTGCATTTGGAACCATCTGTGATACTTTAAAACCCCTGGTACCCAAGGCTTGCCTAAGATGCTCTCACAGAATCTGTCTGGAATAGAGTCCTGTTTCAGCATTGGAAGAGGTAGAAGTATCCCAGGAGTTCTGAGATAAGTTTGGGGTTGAAAGCCACTGCTCTAAAATATCAGGAGTCGCATACTGTCTTAGTCAGGTTTCTACTGCTGTGATAAACACCGTTAATAAAAGCATCTTGGGGAGGAAAGGGTTTATTTCACCTTATAACATATGGTCCATTGTTAAAGGAATCAGGGCAAGAACTCAAAGTAGAGGCAGAAATTGAAGCAGAGACTGTGGAGAAACACTGCTTACCTGCTTGTACTTCCTGGATCACCAGTTCGCTTTCTTATACACCACAGTACAACCTGACCAGGGCTGATACCACCTACAATGGTGTGAGCTACATCAGTCATCAGCCAGGAAAATGCCCCACAGGCCAATCTGATGGAGGCATTTTCTCCGTTGAGGTTCCTTTTTTCTCACATTGCTCTAGCTTATGTCGAGTGTCAAGCCAGTACACACACCCTGTTCTCATTTTTTTTTTTTTTTTACATTGACCAGATTGGGTAGTCCATATAGCTCCAGTGTATTTTAAGGGCAGGCAGGTGACAGGCAGGGGTTCCTCTAGAACACAGCTTGTGACAGCCTAGGTGTGTAGGACCTGCTGCTAGGACTGACTTAGATCCAACATGTAATTCCCCAAGCTTGGCCACTCAACTGCTTCCTTTGAGATTTTGGAGTAGAGTTGTATGATAGAAGGTGGAGGAAGCAAGAGGTGTGAATGTACTTGTTATATTTGGTGGCTCTCGGGAAGAGGAGTAAGAGGAAGAGACAAACCTTGCTGTTACCGACCTGGTGCTGCACAGCCACCCTCCCTTCTTGCTCTTGCTCTTTTCTGCTAATGTTGCATCTACTTTAAGGAACATAGATGATAGTGATGCTCCTATGCCCTCAGGTCACTTAGTGATATTCCCTCCCTCCCTTCCTTTCTTTCCTCACTATCTCAGTCTTGAGTAGCCCTCTGGCCTCAGCCTCCTGGTATTATAGGCCTGTGCTACCATGTTTGCTTTATATCACCCATGAGCTTCCACAGTTCTTATTTCAGTCTTTGGGTCAGGGGCTGTCACCATCCCCCAATATCCAGACATCAATCTAGGTAGCATGGCATACTGGGCCACGGTGTCTGTAGGACCTTAGGTCAACCTTAGAAGATAGGAACATTTCTGTCAGTTCTCAATAAACATATTTTGTGTGCTTTCCTAAAGTAGCTTGTACTTCACACCCTCCCAGTCTGAAAGCCTGCCATGCTGATGTTACTTCCCCTTTCTGTCTCCTGCTGATGTTTAGTTCATCTTGTGTTTGTTCTGGGTGAAGTACAGGGTAGATGTTAGAAGCTGAGGTCAGCACTATCGGGCTGCCAAAACTCAGCTGAGCCTGGTCTGTCAAGACAAACCCTAATGTTGCCTCATTGTTGCTGTTTGAGGAAGCAGAATGGCATGAACAATTAAGGCAGAATTTAATGAAACTACTTTCTGGGGCTGAAGAGACGGCTCAGTCAGTAAAGTGTTTGCCTTCTAAGCATGAGACCCCAGTTTAATTCCTAGAACTTGTGTCAAAAATCTGGGTGTGGTGGCATGTTTGGAGACAGGCAGATCCCTGGGATAGCCAGCTGAGCCTGCCTAGTGAGATCCAGATCCTTGAGAGATCTTGTCTCACAAAAGAAGATGGACAGCATCAGAGGATGACGCAGAGTCTGGCACCACTCTTTGCACCGTCCCTCAACATCCTGTGCATCTGGAAAATGTCAATATTTTCAGGAAATTATTTCCTAGTTTTATTATCCTTAGTTTGAAATAGAAAACTATACATAGATTATCACAGAATGTATGTTTCAACTTCTGAATCATAAATTTGTTTTTGAAACTAAGTATTCTTTGATATTCTTTAGTTAAAAGAAGTTTTGCAGCCTGTCATTGAATGGAAAGAACATTTTGGTAACTGGTGTTCCTTGTCTCCACTTTAAAAACAGATTTTGTCTTTCATAAAACATGAATTGCTTGTCACTGAGTTACATTGTGTCTGAATGCCTTCTGTCTATGACAAGGACATTGTAAAACTACGGCCCCCAGGTGGAGTGCTGGAAGATGACATCACCTCATTGTGGGAAGTGCATGAGAATTCATGGCAGTCCTGTATAGCACAGTGGAATTTAGCTCATTTTTGAAAAGACATGTTTTCCTGTAATATATTAAGTAGAACGTGTTACCTTAGTCATTAGATAGCATAAATTCTATTCTGTTTTCTGGAGTACTGGGTTATTTGCAGTGGGTCGGACTAATTTTTCATAACATTCATATAACATCATGTGACTTTTTGCTAAAGGCAGAATGAACCACAGCCCACTGCTCCTCTTCCAGGAGTGAGGAATGTTAATATCTCCATGGAGCTAGGTTTTTCCTGTTGGAACCATGGCAACCAGCTACCCTCACAAAGGGACTGGCCTCCCCAAACATGGAGCCCCCCACACAAACATTTGACTTTCTTCAAGGCAATAATATTAGAGCAAATTCCTTGTCTTTGCCAAACATAAGATTCATTGTGAGAAACTTCCAGCATTAATACAGATTCAAGGATTCAGCTTCTCACTTAAAATCTGACTTTTCATAAGCAACTTTTGTAACAGAATTCTGTTAATTTCAGTGTGCTTGTGCCGAGTGTCATGTTGTTTTTGTTTTTGAGGTTCTCAGGAGGCTTTTATTCTGCATGCTTGCCTTTCTCTGCAGGGATGACTGGGGTTTCCTGGTGGTGGCAAATCTATCTCAGAGTAGAAGGCATCACATTACCTTTCATGGTCATTTCCTCCTTTGCTTTTGTTTATGCCTATAGCTCTTCAGAATCTGGTGCCATTGTCAACTGGTTTGGACTGGCCAAGTTCTAGGGATTAATGGTGGAAATTAAACTGCTACTTGGTATTAACCCTGAGGAAAGATGCTGCCCTGTATTGGATCTTAGGTGCCTGAGTGAATGGGGCAGCTTCCCATGTCTGTGTCTTGCTTCTCAGTCATAGCATTCCCCCCTCCGTTGGGGGGGGCACTTTTATATTAACAGATCCTGTTTGAGAGGCCTTTCTTATAGCAGAAAGTGGGAGAGTGTCATAGTTGGCTGAAATGCACATTTGGCTGGTGTTCCCTCAGGACTGACAACTTTCTTCAGCTTGTCTAAAACTCAAATACCAAAGAGATTTATTGTTTCAACTCTGTACACATCTGTTTTGCTTTGTGTGACTTTTCTCAGTGGCATCAAGACTGTAACTATCTGGTTAATGTGATTCAGGTGTTGGTAGTCTCTTTTCTAGGAAGAGTTCATGTTCCCTAACGCTCCATTAGTGCCCTCTTCTGGACTGAACACCCTTTAATGGATCTGCCTTTAACACTCAGGCCGGGCTTGTGTCACTTTCTGCACAGTGCCCCAAATTTCCAAGCCTCTGCAACTGTCTTGCCCATAGGGCAGAGTTGAGCCTTCTTAGCCCGACAGTCAGCTCCTCCAGAAGTGGTTTGTTCTTCCATCCTAAACACATCTACACCCAAGTTACAGATGTTCTCCAGTGTTCTGCCCTGCACTGTCGCGTTTTCTGTTTATACCGCTTACAGCACCGTTCTCTCTGAATGCTCTTTGTGGTGATTTTATCTTTTAAGCTCCATTTATTTAGTTGTCACTGTGGGTTTTTTGTTTGTTTGCTTGTTTGCTTTGTTTTTTACAACTCAGTAATGTATGAAGGAAACTTTTCTAAAAAACACTTTAATATCTATCCCCTGAGGTTAAGGCATCACCAGCCCCTGAAGCCCAGGCCAAGCTGGCTTCTCCATCCAGGACAACCACTTTCCCAGCTCTTAAGCCCAGAAGGACCTCTTTGCTCTGAGTTCTGTGTCCCCTGCAGTCTCTGCTTCTTTGGGTCTGAACCTTTCACTCAGTAGTACAGTAAGGATCACCTATGTTGCTGTGTGAAACCCTTGGCTCTCCTTGTTCACTGTCAAATAAGTTGGTTTTTTTTCCTCAGTATGTATTTAATAGCCCTAGCTCTGGACTTTTAGGATGACTAGTATGACTAAATAAAGTTCTGTTGAGTCTGTAATGAATAATGCACACTGTCATCAGAGCTGAATCTTCACACTCAGGCAATGACCTGGGTTGGGTGTACACATATTCAGATGTCGAAGACATTGGCAGTCACCTCACCTCACTGGGGACGCAGTGCTCAGCTAGCCATCAAATTGAATTCAAATTGAAGCATTTACCAACCAGTTACACATAAGTAGGCTTTGTGCTTCTCCCATGTAAGCAGACTTTTAGACTCTTCCCAAAGATATTTTACTTTTATTTTAATACTATTTTAGGTGCCTGTCATGACTTATCCTTGGCATTTTCTAATATCATTAATGAACATAAACATTGCTTTCTTTTTTTTTTTTTTTTTTTTTTTTTTTTTTTTTTTTTTTTTTGGTTTTTCGAGACAGGGTTTCTCTGTGTAGTTTTGCGCCTTTCCTGGAACTCACTTTGTAGACCAGGCTGGCCTCGAACTCACAGAGATCCACCTGGCTCTGCCTCCCGAGTGCTGGGATTAAAGGCGTGCGCCACCACCGCCCAGCGACATTGCTTTCTTTTTACCTCCTTTCATTCCTTCAAAATTATACCTGAAGTTTTGGTAGTAGTTTTGAATGACCTTAGCTTTCTTGGAGTGTAAAGTATACTTGGTTTTATGCTATTGAACATTGAATTCTAAAAGAGCTGTTTTCTCTTTTTTTTTCTAACAGTTGGATATTCTAAAAACCAAGCAATCGCACAGAGCACAGGGTCTTACCTTTGCTTTTTGGATTCAGTAAGTAGCTCTCTGTTTTGTTTATCATGGCTTTGTATATATTGACCAAAGAATAGTATGGTTCTTAAAAATAAATTTTTAGATTTGTTATGATGAATCTCAAAAGTCAAGTTTAATAGGTTGTTGCTACATGCTGCCATAGCACTTAATTAACAATAAGTAAGATCATATAAAAATATAAAACAGGACCACAGAGAATATAAACAATATTAAAATTAGCACAATACTAGCAAATATGATACTTAAGAGATAAGGAAATGGAAACAGTTCATGACAGCTAAAGTAAAACATGAAGCAGATTTATAGGTAGAGGGTAGGTGACAGGTAGACGTATACAGAGATTCAAGTCAATCAAAGTTATATTAAAATTTTAATTTGTAATCAAATTAGCAAGATACTTACACAAAGCCAATTAAGTTTTCAAAATGTAGATAGTGTTTCAGTATGAATTGGTAACACACTGACAGCATGATTGTGCATTTTTGTTCAAGAACTTAAAATGCTTGTGCCCTTGACTCCTGATTTTCACAGTTGTTTATTATAACAGAAATTAGAAACCAGTTACTGAGTGCTGACTGAGCACTGATGGAGAACACTAGCAGACTGTCAGAGAACTGTCATATTTATGGGCATTCTTAGGAATAGGACACTTGATTATAAAGGATGAACAGAGACTGTATACAGATTGTGCTGTCCTTAGAAACCCTGATAGACTAAAGCAAAGCAAACAAAGTCTGTCTTAAAAAAAAAATACAGCTTTTATGTATCTAAATTATTTTGTAGGTTAGGCCCCTGGCTTCTTAGAACATGAATACTAGGGCCCATGGATATGTTGGCCATTGGCTTATACAGCTGTTGCTGTTTTGTTTCTGTTTCCAATTGGTTATTCCAGGTACATGGAGGTAGGAAGATGACATAGACCAGGAGATGTAGCCTCCCTTTCATGCAAGGGACAGGAGGAGAGTTGACCCACAGGGTTACCTTGAGAGGTCTGACATTTTGAAGTCAGAGTTCTGCATAATGTTATCTTTATTGTATCTAGACAGCATATTTGTCAGTAACTTGTTGAAGGCAGATGTTGCCAAGTAATTGAGGAAGTGTCTCTGTGATTTTTGTATTTGACCTGTCTGCTTTAGTGTGAAATTATTTATACAACAGTTTTGATATTAGCTATGTAGAACCCACTTTAGCTTTAGGAAGCAGGTGAGGACTGTCACTGTTCTGGGCCCAGTGCGTGCACCTTGCACACAAGGGTCTATGTGGGCTGCTGCTGTGCTGAGCTTGACCCTGAAGTGTCTGGCTCCACCTTCAGGTGCTGGTTGTTCCCCTAAGCTGAAAACAGAAAACAGCTGTTCATTCTGAGCCTGTGTGCAGCTAGCTCTGGAAGTTCACAAGCAATGTGGAGGGAAAACTGGGACCTGAGGCGCATACCTCACTCTTGTCTTTTTGGTTAGTTTTCTCTTGCCTTAGTTAGCTCTATGCAGGGAACTATAAATTTTCATGTGAGTGTGTCTGTAATTTAGGTGGACTTAATGTTGTTTTAAAATGGGAGTTACACCGGGAGGTGGTGGTGTATGCCTTAATCTCAGCACTCAGGAGGCAGAGACAGGTGGATCCCTGTGAGTTTGGGGCCAGCCTGGTCTTCAGAGCAAGTTTCAGGACAGCCAGGGCTACACAGAGAAAACCTGTTTCAAAAACCCTAAAATAAAATGGAAGTTACTCTGCTAAATTATAAAAGTAATATTTTTTTTATGGTGTTAAAGTGCATCACAGTAAACAAACTTTCCTCCGTTAAAATAAGGCCCCATCTCTTCTTGGTTCCACTACTCCCCTGCAGTACTAAGCTGGGGACCTTTGACACATGGGCACTGGGGAGATACTCCAGATCCAAAATACAGCACCCAGAAAATGTCATTTGTCTTCAGAGGTGATTTGATGGGCTGCTGGTCAGTATGAGGCTGACCACCAAAAACTAGAGTAGAAGCAAGACACTTTCAACCCCAGGTGCCAGGGAGGAGATTGGACTTGGTGAAGCCTCTGTAACCTTTGTAAACAGAGGAGTTCAGAAAGTTTCTGGTGTGGACATGTAAAAGTCCCAGAGGGTAGCATACCCCACCACCTCCCGGGCTTCTCTGTATATGCCTTATCATCTGGCTGGTCACCTGTGTCCTTTACTGTGTCCCTTCCAATCAACTGAAAATGGAGTTTGTTTTTCTCCTAGTCATGTGCACCTATCAGCAGATTACTTGGGAGCTTCCCATTTGTAGCCAAGTAACATGGCGTCTGAATTGGGCATGTTCTTGAAGGGTATGAGCCCATAGCCAAGGATCCATGCTACTCCAGATAAGGACTGCACTGGAATGTAAGTTCTAGCAGAGGTCTTCAGAGTGGCAGGGCTGCAGAGATACAGAGCTGAAGACAGAGCTCCTTCATCCTCCTCAAGGTTCTTTGGAACAAACTGAGAAAGATGAAGTAGGACCACAAATATATGATTGATTATAGTGATGGGGGGAATCGCAGCACACATGTGGTCACCTCCATTCTGAAGTGATTCAAAGTTTATATGCTGTTTCTATCTGGGAGGTTAGGGAATGTACATAGTTTGAGAGGAAGGGAGGTAATATGTAGGAGAGCTTCTGGTTTGGGGAATAGTCATTGGGCCAGTACATCCTGCTTGGCCCACAGAATAGCAGTGGATTGCCAATGATTTGCTATGCCACCCAGTGACATGTGATAGCATCTGCCTGGTATGCTGACATCCTATGGTTTCTCTGTCAGAAGAGTATTATTTGGGAGCCTCAGGGAAGGAACCACAGGTGTTGGAGTTAGAAAGACAGGACCTTTGCAGAGAGACTGACCAACATGGGGAGGGGACCAGGTTTCAGTCAGACTTGACCTACTGTCTAAGGCTCCAGCAGGTCAGGGTCTGACAGCACTGATGATAAGGGAAAAACCCAAAAGGTCAGAGTGCTGTGGGTTAAGAAGCCCTTTGGCATATGTAAGTCACCCAACACTGCTTTTGAGAACAGGCTCAGGAAATGGGCTGGGATAGTGCATTTGTCCTCCGTAGGTCAGTCCACAGGATTACGCCTGGCCAGGAAGTTTCTTCCTAAGTTTCCACATCTTATCCGAAAGCTAAACATAGGAAGACTTAAACAAGGTGTGTATGTTCTCTGTGGCATTTGCTAGCATCCCCAAGACCTCTCTGCACCTGTCATTCTCAACAATACCTTGCTCAGAAAGACTTCACTGGAAGCCTGTCTATCATTTATTCTCAGTTCTCTTGGCTAGCAGCCTTTCACCAGATATTTTTGTGTCAGAATGAAATAGCATTTCATTCTTACTTAATGCTTCTTTCAAATTAAAAAAGTGTGTGTGTACACTATGTGTATAGTTGCCCCAAGGAGGCCAAAAGAGGATATTGGGTCCTGAGGAGCTGGAGTAAAGGTGGTTGTGAGCCATATGATATGTTAGTGCTGGGAACTGAACTCGAGTTTTTAGAAGCACAGGAAATGCTCCTGACTGTCTCTCCAGGCCCTTAATACTCTATTATGCTTCCAGTTTCTTGTCTACCCCATCATTCCAAAGTGATGATTCCTGTTCATAATTGTGGGATCTCAGCCCCTCTGGGAATTTTATGCACATCCAGGAATGCCAGTAATGATGTTTCAAATGTACGTCTCACTGAGAAGAAAGCTCCAGGTAATATTCCTTGGCATGAACCCTGAGATGAATGTACTCTGCTTTCATGGTTGGTGCTGACAGCATCTTGGATTTGGCCTGTTAGAGCCTCTGCTTTACATTTTAGATGCCAGCTGATTCTTGTTAACCAATCACAGTGGTCCTGCCCACAGAGGGAATAGGAGCCAGCGGGTCAGGTTTGGTCTCCATGAAGGGGAAATCGGTTACCTTCCCCCTGTAGTAATACTTCTGACTTGTTACTAAAGTTCTCCCTTGCTTTCATTTACAGAAAAAGAACTTTTCATTCTCTAGTCTCTGGGCCACCTTCTCTTTCTGGTGGCCTCAGGAAAATAAAAACCTCATTTATATTTTTAGTCACCAGGTTCTGTAAAGTTTAGTGCCTGCTTCTCTGTTAACTTTTTGGATTGAATATCTGTTCACCACATCTTCCTTAGCTTCTCAGCCACTTGGCCAGTGAGTGTATTAATTCCATTTGTTCTCTCTTTGCTCTTATTGTAGTTAAGCTGAGTCTTCACAGCAGAAGTGGTAGAAATCACATTTGAATATTCTTTAGGTGCTTGTGAGCCAAGCAATACTAACCATTTGTGCTTTTTGCATAGATCCCTGAAGTATAAAATTGGAGTATTGGAATCTTGGTTAATTCCATGTGTATTAGTAAGAACCCAGAAAAGTTGAATAGTAAGGTTTTGTGTGTGTGTGTGTGTGTGTGTGTGTGTGTGTGTGTGTGTGTGTGTGTATGTGTATGTGTATGGGGGAATTGGTCTGAGTCCACTGATAAAACTGCTAATCTCTCCAAGATCCACCTTCACAGACATAAACATCTTGCCACTTTTCTGGGCAGCCTTTAGGCCAGTCAAGTTAACACATAAAATTAATTTTCACATCTCCCCCCTTTACTAAGCTGGCACACATGCATATCTCCTTCAACAACACTTGGGTCCAGCCAGAGTTAGGTTGGGGGTTGTAATACACTGTGCAACTATGCTGCTTATAACTGAGCATAGGCATCAAAGGCTCATAGTCTTCAAGTGATGTTGAGTCTTCTGATATCCCAAAACTGAAATGAGAGGAATTAGAGAGGGAAGAAAACAAAGATGTTTACCTACTATGTTTGTAACAAAATAAGGTGGAAATGTATTATAACTTTGATAGCCTCACTTCTATAATTGGTCATATGGTCATAGTTATTATAACTGCTCACAGAGTCCACTCAGTGGGGAACGCAGTCACAGCTGCTCAGCTCAGTAAATCCAGACAAAAGAACAGATACAGTATCACTTCACATACTTAAATTCAAACCCTAGGAAAGTTGGCCACATTATTTATTAAGTGCACACATAATGACAACAGTAAAGACAAGTGAGGGCAGTGTGGCCCCAAAAGCCCAAACTGAGGTCCTTTTGAGCAGGAAGTTGCTGGAAAGGTGTTGGCAATAGGCAGCTTCACTTCTTCTTGTCTCCATTTCATAATTCTGTATCTCATAATCCTTTACTGAGCACCTCAGTGGAGTCAGTTCTTTATCTGGAAGGTGACTAGCACTTTTATTCTGGAAATGGTCTGGGCCATTTATCGTACCACCTGGATTGTGGTGTTGTGGTTTCTTACTGGCCTTAATCACAGAGCATGTAATACTGAGTGAGTCTTTAAGAAATCTCCTGCACTCTGTTCTTCCTGTCTCCTTTGTAGAGTAGTCATCTGGTTTTCCTCAATAGTCTGCATCAGCCCCGTTGGCATACACCATAACTCCTTTCTTTATCTGCTTATTTATGAGCATAAGGAGTCCAGAGTGGCAGGTGGCCCTTTAATTTCTGGTCCAGTCATTGCAGCATTACATTAGAAGTATTTCCCTGTCACCTACTCCCATACCCCTTTAAATACTTAAATTTTTGTTGGTTATTCGTTCATTGAAAATACCTTATTTTACTATGAAATGAAACATTCCTACAGAAAATGCACAAGACCTTATATTGTGGAGCATATATAAGGAGCTACCTGTTGCCAACACCTCAGGGATCTGCCATGATGCTGCTTCCAGCAACTTCCTGTTCAAAGGGACCTCAGTTTGGGCTTTTGGGGCCACACTGCCCTCACTTGTCTTTACTGTTTTCATTATGTGTGCACTTAATAAATAATGTGGCCAACTTTCCTAGGGTTTGAATTTAAGTATGTGAAGTGATACTGTATCTGTTCTTTTGTCTGGATTTACTGATCTGAGCAGCTGTGACTGCGTTCCCCGCTGAGTGGACTCTGAGAGCAGTATTGGATGCAGTTTGTTTCACCATCTGATATTTATTGACTTGAATATTCTATGTCTGGAAAGTGCTGTCCAAATCCTACGTGGATAGAGGATCTTTTCTATACAGAAGGTAAAATTATTAAGTCTTAGGGAATCTGTACCTCCAGCTTTACTGGATGATGCCAAAACATCTCTGAGAACAACTATGATACTTCACACAGGCACATGGGTGTCCTTGTTCTTCATCCTAAGTGCACTTGGCCTGCCAGATTTTCTTTTTTCCCCGCCAATCACATAGTTGCTTTTCCTTGATGACCAAAGAGGGTCCTGGTTTATGAACATCTGAGTTGCCCACTCACATTGTTTGCTGTTGTGTTCTTGGACCGTGTGCCTTTCTTACTATGTTGGAATTGCTAGTAATTGGAATTTGTAGTAATGTAAAACGTGCTCTTTATACAGGATGATGTTATGATGCCCCAGAGAGTGAGGCTGCAACATGAAGCTGCTGTTCAGCACCCAACGAGTGTGAGTACAATACCTTTTCTGTGTTGTCACCACCTTTAATAAAATGCTAGTAATTTTTTAAAAATAGAGATTTTATTCCTTGGGATTAGAAAGAATCTGTTTACAGTCAGGTTGTCAAATCAGGGGGAGATTTGTGGCTGCCATGTTTCTGAGCCTTTAAGGATGGCTCCTTTTGAAGATAATCATGCTTCTGGTGAGTGGGAACTGGAGATACAACTCTATCTTGATGCCTATAGAGGCCTAAGGTGTTCTTTTGAGAGAATTCCACTAAGTGAGATCAGAATTCTTAACTTCATCAAAGAAAAGAATTTCAGGTCAAGTCACTATAAAGTAGAGTTGGAGTTTATTAAGAAGAGATTTTAACATAGATTTAAGCAGAGCATTAATAGACAAGTATTTAGGAAAAGATTCTATACCCCCAAGGATTGGCATAGACTTCTCAAGGGAGTCACTTAAGGGTCATATCAATAGCTATACATAGCCAGGAGGTAGTGGCACATGCCTTTAATCCCAGCACTCAGAAGGCAGAGGCAGGTGGATCTCTGTGAGTTCAGGGCCAGCCTACAGAGTGAGTTCCATCCAGAACAACCAGGGCTATGCAGAGAAACTCTGTCTCGAAAAACAAAACAAAATAAAAAATAGCTATACATATAATTTTGGTGGCTTCTGGAAGTTACATTGTTTAAAGGATTCTAAGAAATTCTTTTTTTCTTCCTTTTTTTGTTTCATTTGTAAATGAGATCAGAGGGTAGTTCCTGAGGTACATTGGACAGGAGGATTAAAGGTTAATAAGGTAAAACCATAGGTCAGAAGAGTTGAAGGAATCTTTACTATATTAGGTTACAGGGAGTTGAGACATGCTTTTACTGTAAACAAAGTTTACACTCTTGTGAGATTCTCAGAAAATGTAAGTTTTACAGCTGGAAAAAAAGCAGGCCAAATGCAACAGGGTCATACATGCTTAGCCTTAAACATGGTTTGTTGGTGTTTTAACACTCTTACTTGAAATATCTCTGTATAAAAGCAAATTGTCCCTATGTAGTTAACTTCCACAGCAGATTTTTATTAATTATACTGGAATTCTTGACTCTCAGCTAGAAAAAGACTTCAAGCAAACTCCTTCCTGGGTGAAGGGCTCCTTACTAGTCAGTCTTTCTATCCTGTTATCATTTTGGGAAGCACTTGTCACTTTGAAACAGAAAGATTTCTTTCTTCTTCCTCTCCCCCTTTCTGTCTCTTTCTATTCCTTTACCATGTAGCCACTTGCCTGGGACAGGCTGTTGCTTCCTAACAGGGAGTTTGACAACATATGAAGTCAAGTTGGACTACACCAGCCTTTATTTCCATATTACACTGGTCCATTCAGAGGGGAAAGCTCATAAAACAACCTTCTTGAGGGGTGCTTTTAGGCATTCAGTTCAACCTCTTATTATCAGGGCAGCTGATTATCCTCTAACAAGCATTATTCTGTGAACTCTGAATGTAGCTCACATAGTATCTGCTTTTACTAAATTGGCACCTTTTACTTATTTCTCACCTTCCTCTCCCTTTGATCCTGAGGACTAGTCACTGGCACTTGGGTATATAGACACAGACCTCAGGCCTGCCTTTCCTGGAGTAAGGAGTTCCCTATCTTATTTCAAGTCAGAGGCTGAAGACCTATATACCCTGAGCTGGTATTGCTGATGCTGTGGAGTATACCTGTAAGACAAGAGGAAATGCCTTGATTGCCCTTGAGGTCCCTGGGCAGAGGATAGTACCTTTATATCCCTGTGGTAGCTCTGTGACTCTTGGGGGGTGAGGGTTGTTCCAGGTAGGGTATGTGCCCAGATCAGTCCCTATTACTCAGACTGCCTGCCTCACTCTGTCTTTCCAAGCCCATCCTACCCAACCTACCCTTGATGCTGCTTCTGACCCTTTAGCCACTTCTGTCTGCATATAGGGTAGATGCTGAGCTTTGCCATGGGAGATCTCAGAACCACTTCTAGTATAGAGTTTTAGGGCAGGGACACAAGCTGCTCTGCCCACATAGGCAGTAGTTTGTGTTAGTATGTGAGAATAGATGAAAATACAGACAGAATATACACTGTCCTCCTAGGAGCAGAGGGGATCAATGAGCTATCTTCACCGTGATTACAAAAGGTTCTGGGGACTCAGGGCCCCAGAGTGTCTGCAGGACTTCTGTGAGGCATGTTTTAGTGAGAGAAATGAAGAACTGTAACATTCATTGTGTCCTGAAAGGGTCATGCATAAACAGAGCTAAGGAACCACAAATTGTAGTGTTCAGTGACCACAGACTCTAGAAGTTGCTTTTTTAAAGTTCAAAGGCATAGAATATTCTATATTCCCCCTTTCTAATTGGGAAAGATGTTGGAAGATGGCCAGTAGTATCTGACAACATGTGCTGTCATGGAGCCTATGGTAATTCCATTTACACTAGGCAGTGGTGTCCTTTGGCTCCCCAGGATGGGAATCACTGGATCTCACCCAGGCAGTGGTGTCCTTTGGCTCCCCAGGATGGGAAGCACTGGCTCTCACCCAACAGTTCAGGGTTTGCTACCCCAGCCTCCAAAGCTGTCAGGTATCCTCATCATATGGAGAAATGGACTGTTTTCTGGTGTGGGCTGTTTGTTAGGAGTAAGTCCTCCTAGGTGGATTTTGTGCTGTCTATATAAAGGAAACATAAAGGCTAGGATTTACAGAAGTTCCTCTCCAGTGGCTGACAGTGAGATAATGTTAGTTTTAGAAGTCAGAGAATAACGGACAAAGACAGCATCAGAATCACACTGCTCTGAATTGAGACTACTTGCTGCCTCTGACTCTGCAGGACATGTTCCTCTGTACTTCACTGTCCCAACAATCATGCCCCTCTGAAATCAAGGCACAGGAGCCTGTCTCTGCCCCAGCAGAAAACAGGTCTGTGGCTGGGGTTCAGGTTCTCGTGTAAGATGCCATATGTTTTATTCAGAGATGGGAGTTTCCAATTATTTTAATATTATATACACTGGAAACATATAAAGAATTTTGTAACAAGTATTGACATTTTAGAGAGCCATATTCTTGTCAGATGTTTTCTTTCATTTCTACCCAAAATTAAAACTAAACAGATTGGCTGCATTAATGGACTTAATTCTGCAGTTTTTGTGCCATTCATTGAAATGAACTGTGATATTTAGAGGTATTCAGGGATTTTAAAAAATGAAACTGTCAATTTTCTTATAGTTAAATCAGCCTTGATTTGCATTTTTATATCCTGCTTGAAGTTCTAGATTATGGCTTTTCTTGTTCAACGTCATTGAATTCTTAGATACTCTGTCCAGCATTCAGTAGAGAACCTTGTGCTGCATTTTCCTCCCAACCTTAGTGTCTGGTGACTCAGTATGTCAGGACAGATTGGCTCTGTAACACAAAATTGGCCCGAGAAGAAACAGTTACTGTGATTCTGGGTTTAAAATCGTGGCTTACAAAGTCCTCATCTGTAGTTGCTGGTTGGTGGCTATGTTGATTATTATGCTTACTTTGTTCAGAAGGAATGAAATGAATGTTGGCAGTATGTTCCTACCCTGTTGTTACTTCTTTTAGGCCATTTACAAGAAAACCACTTACTTAGGAAGGGAGGACCCATGATGGCAGCTGTTATAATGTGTTCCATTGTTTGAATCACTGCAGAATTATTGAATTTTATATTTTAGGCATTATTAGCAGCTCTAAATGTAATTTATTATTATTATTTTTTTAATTCCTATCATCAGTCTCCTGAACCTTTGCAGCCTAAACAGTTCTGGAGCTGATAGAATAGTGTGGGAAGCTTCATGTTGGCTCTGCAGGATCCTCAGATGGTCACAAAGGGCCTTCCCACTGGATTCCTGAGCAGAAGAAAAGAGTGGTGGTAAGCATAGCTTCAGGAATACCAAGGGTGAAGTCAGGAAAATAACATCATCCCACTTGTGTGGCCCACTACAGACAAGCGTGGTGGTGAGTGGCCTCTGTACAAATAAACACTAGATGGCTAATAGTTCTTTTTGGAATCCTTGTTTATAGGATGTGTGACTATCTGCTGTCAGTGTCAGGAGTATCCTGTGGGCTCCAAAAATCAAGCTCAGTATTAGAAATAGGCACAAGAACATCAGTCAGAAGGTCTACTATAGATGAGCTGAGGAACCACCAGCCTTCCTCTCCCAGCATCCGTCTCTACAGGGTAAGCTTTCTCATCACCTTATAGTTCAGGAAGTAGTTTCAAAGACAGCAGAGCTAGCATTTCCTATCCCTATGTCTTTGAGCTCTTACCTACTAAATGAGACAGGAGCTTTCCCACAACTGTAGTCCCACTGACCCTCATTTAACCTGTGAGGTAGGAGCTCCCCCTGTAGGTGGACTTTTCTTTCCCACTTGACAGTTACCAAATAACCACACAGAGACTTATTATTAATTATAAATGCTCGACTGATAGCTCAGGCTTGTTACTAATTAGCTCTTAAATTTTAAAATAACCCATATTTCTTATCTATGCTCTCCACATGGCAATACCTTTTTTTAGTATGGCAAGTTCATCTCCTGCTTCCTCTGTATCTTCTGATGACTCCTCAGACTACTCCTCCTCCTTTTTCTCAGCTTTCTCTTAGTCTGGTTCTCCCACCTAACCTTATCCTGCCTAGCTATAAGCCAGTCAGCTTCTTAATTAAACTAATCACAGTGACATATATTCACACAGTGTAATGGAATATTCCATATCTCCCCTCCCCCCAGCTATATGTTGTTATTGACTGCTTATGAGGTGAGAGGTCATCCTTAAGTAGAGTCTCACTGACCTTCATCCTCTTGGTAAGGTAGGAACCTTATCCCAAGGAGCCTCACCAACCCTTGTCTACTCAGTAAAGTGAAAGCTTTACTTCACTTTAGATACAGTCTCACCATTTATCACCTAGCAAAGTAGGAGCTTCACTTCTGGGTAAAGTCTCATTTATACCTGAGCATACAGTATGGTGGGAGCTTTGCCCCTAAGTAGAATTTCTAACCTTTGTCTACCCAGTAATGGAAGAGCTTCAACTCAACTATGGTTTCACTGATTCTTGTCCATTGTGTGAGGCACGAACTTCAACCCCAAGCACACCATCACCAAATGTATTAGTTACTTTTCTGTTGCTGTGACCCTGACCAAGGCAACTTAGGACTGAAAGAGCTGATTTTGACTTATGGTTCTAGAGGGATCGTGATGGGGAGTTATAGCAGGGTGGCATCTGGAGCAGGAATCTGAGGGATCACGTTTTCAAATGCAAGCATGAAGCAAAGATTGTGAACCCTCAAAGCCCACCCCCAGTGACATTCTTCCAGCAAGTACACACCTCCTAAATCTCCCCAAATAGTGCCACCAACTGGAGGCCAAATATTCAAATGCCTGAATGTATTAAAGCCATTTTCATTCAAACCACCACACTAACCCTTGTCCTCCCCACAACACAGGAACTTTATCCTGAGTTCAGTGCATGTGAGGCAGGAATACTTCCCAGATTATGATGGCAGTTTTCTCAGTGTGAGCTACAGTTCAAGAAGTGACCCCAGTGAGGAGAGGAAAAGCAGCTGATCAGAGGAAGCACAGTGTCAGTGGATTTCTGGGCCTGTTGTGCAATGGCTTTTCTGTGGGATTTATCTGAGGAAGTCTTGGAGAACCGTATCAGCCAAGAGCACAAAGACACTAGCCCAGTGAGCCCCAAACCCAGGCTAGGGTCAGAAAGCATGAGGCCTACAGTTCAAGATATGGAAGTCAGAGCAATTTAATTTGAAATGAACACTGGAGCAGCTGGAAACTATTTCAGACAGTGTCCTTGGTCCTTGAGGGATTACAGAGTCGTATGGAGACAGGATGTCTCAGGCTGCTGTGTATTGTAGTTTAGGCTACACTAGAGGCCATGGCATGAAGAATACTACTTGCTCATCTTTTCCATAGCACCTTCCCATGGCAGCCACAGGCTTCACATGGTACCTCTGAGGCATTTCAGATGAGGTTTAGAAATGATTCTACAGAGGAAGACTGGGCTTCGTAGTCCTGTAAGCTTCCAGAAGCAGCCCTGGGGATCATGCAAAGACAATGGTGACCTCACATCAGAGTCTTCTCTGAGAGAGGGGAGCAAACTGGGCATGGTGGTACATACCTGTAATCCAAGTAGCCAAGGCCGACAGAGTTTAAGGCCAGCCTGGTCTACATAGGAAGACCCTATTAAAGAAAATAAATAAAAAGAAAATGAAGAGAAGACAGAGGAGAGGAAAGGTGAAAGAGAGAATAATAAGTAATTTGCTTTCAACCAGCAGCCCAGGGGAAATTGACACTGGTGTCAAAAGTACAATGTCCTCTGAAGGGGCCCCACTAGGAAGTGTTCTCTGCTTCCTATAGACAGGACTGATACCCTCTTCTGGTCAGACACAAGAAAAACACTCTACTCCTCTTGCTATGACCTGCCCCACCCATATACCCATAATCACCAATCCTTTGCCATAAAACTGGTATCTGAATGCAGCCTCCAAGATCTACATAGGGACCAGTCTCTCTCTCGAACTTTGAGCATCTGGGAAGTGTTTAGGCCTGATGTTAGTACATTTTCAGCAGAAAGCATAGGTAGTTCATCCAGATTGTGATGCCAGGGGCCAAGGCTAGTGCCTAGGTAGAAGGAAGAAGCTGAAAGAGAGGAAGTCATGCTTGAGGTCAGGAGGCAGCACAGCCATGACCTGGAGCAGAGAAGGTGTCACAGGTCAGGAAGTTCATGTGGCACCACACCAGGTGACATTGGTGTGAATGTTGGTGACCATGTTCTGAGGTGGGAATGGATGTGTTCTGAGATGGGGACAGGTTCTGAAGTGTGAATGGATGCGAGATGAGGCCATGTTCTGAGGCGAGAGAGACAGGTTATGAGATGGTAATAGAGTTTTAGTTTCACCTTCAGTTTCTGATGTCAGCAACAGACTGTTTTTGCTCAGCCATGATAAATGGTGATAAATGGCTCCCAGGGACAATTGGAGCTGATAGCAATTGGCTACCATTTGACAGCCCACAGCTCCCTGAGGTACTAACTCCACAGGCACAATGGACTGCTTTGCCTGACCTCAGTCATAACCTGCACCCATGGGAAAACAGTTGGGAATGGTCTTCACATTTCTTCCTCCATTTCTCTCTTTTTTTCCTTCCATTGTAACATGGCTATAATATCAAGGGTGGGAGTAGAGAAGGAACAGAACTGTGAACCAGGTTGAGAACCCTCTCATGGTTTTGGAGAGATTTTGCTTTTGCTTCCTGCGTTTGGCAGCTCCCTCCTGATTAGTCCTTGTTCTGTGCCTCATTTGCATACATACAATCAGCTTACCTAGGCTGATAGATACTGCACTTCCACCAACTCCTTTTTGCCGTTCTAGTGGAGTCTGGATCTCACCCAGCTAATACTAGGACTGTTCAAAGACTCCCCAGAGACAGATCCTACTGAGATGCCATGAGCTTCAACCAAAAGACATGGAAACAAGTTCTGACATGGGGCTGTGTTTTGAGGAGGTAGCAATGTATTTTGAGATGAGACCATGCTCTAAGGGAACGGGAACATGTTCTAAAATGGGGATGTGTTTTGAGGCTATAGGGATGTTTTCTGAAGTGGAGATTTTTTTCTCAGGTGGTACCCTATTCTGAAATGATGGAGACATATTCTAAGAGAATGTTTTATGAGATGGGACAGTGTTCTGAGGAAGTGTGACATGTTCTGAAAGGATTGGGATGTGTCTGGGGTAGGGGTGCTATTCTGATATAGGACCATTTTCTGAGGAGGTTGGAGCTGTGGTGGTTTGGATAAAATGGCCCCCAAAGCTAGTGGCACTGTTAGGAGGTGTGGCCTTGTTGGAGGAAGTGTGTCACTATGGGGGCAGGTTTTGAAGTCTCTTTCTCAAGCTTCCCTCAGTGTGACTTGCTGTTGGCTGCAAGCCAATATGTAGCCAGCACCACATCTGCCTGCATGCCACCATGCTGCCCATCATGATAATAATGGACTGAACCTCTGAAACTGTAAGGGAGCTCACTCCATGAAATGTTTTCATTTATAAGAGTTACCGTGGTCATGATGTCTCTTCACAGCAATAAAAGCCTTAATTAAGACAGGAGCCATATTCTGAAAAGAAGCCATGCTTTTGAATCAATAGGACATATTCTGAGGTAGAGCTATGTTCTGAAATGGGACATGCTATCTTAGTCAGTGTTCTCTTGCTGTGAAGAGACACCATGACCAAGGCAACTCTTATAAAAAAAAAAAGCATTTAATTGGGGCTTGCTTACAGTTTCAGAGGTGTCATCCATTATTATCATGGCAAGGGAACATGGCAGCATATAGGCAGACATGGTGCTGGAGAAGTAGCTGAGAGTTCTACATCAGGATCCCTGGGCAGCAGGAAGAGAGAGACACTGGACCTGGCTTGAGCTTTTAAAACCCCAAAGCCTACCCCCAGTGACATATTTCCTCCAAGAAGGTCATACCTTCTAATCCCTCCCAAGTAGTGCCACTCCCTGATTACCAAGCATTCAAACCTGTGAGCCTTTGGGAACCATTATTCAAACCACCACACAATGCCATCTTTTCTCTGGAAAGGAAATGTGGGATTAGGTTGCTGCCTTGTAAAGAAAAGAATTTGGATGGAAGAAGGCTGTCTTGAAGTACATGAGCTTGTAGTTTCAACCCATCTTTATTCATGGTGCTATTTTCTTAAGGCTGAGCCCAGAATGTTCCCAGTGACTGGTGATAATTTTTCAAAGTTATCAATAGTTCACAGAGTGAGTTGTTGGAAATATTCAGGTGTTGGGAGCTCATATTTGGCTCATCTTCATCTGATTGCATGCAAGGGGGGAATGATGTTTAGGGCTATCTGAGGGCAGTATTAGCTTTTCACTATTAAGACATTTCTTAGGACTGCCCCATGCAGGCCTGACATTCTGTTCTCTCTGCCTCTTGATGCCAGGGATTTTTGTCTAAATCAGCCCCCAATCCATGGATTTCACACTTACTTACAGAACCTTAAAATCTATTTGTTGTTGTTTTTCACAGATCATAGGATGCCAAGTGAAGAGAGACCCCCCAGACTCTACAGAGCGGTACACACGTTGGATCAACCAGTTGACGTCTGATCAGCTATTGACACAGGTGACAACCACTGGGTGTTTGACCTTTTATAGGCTCAACTGCTTCAGGTTAGAGTCCCCTGGGACTACATCCAACTTTTTGACACATTCTGTCAGGGTGTGGTCTTTGTATCTTCAGTCATCTACACATTATTAACTAGACAGTGTCTAGTTGGGGCATACCCATGTTGTTTTGATCTTTCTTGGGTCAGGTACCAAAGAAAGCATTTTAGTCTCTATGCAGTGTTTCTTTATCATGTCCCAGGTAGATATACAGAACATTGGCAGACACAGTGGCCCCAGAATCAAATACACAATTGCTTTAGCAGTGGACAGAGAGTGGCCATGACAGTGGATAAAGGGTGGCTGGGGTTCTGCATGAAGAGTGGATATAGAAGTCGATAGAGGATGGCTGTAATGCTGTAATGCTGGTGTGAGACCAGACATAGGCTCACCTCGTAGCCACTAACTTAGATCTCATCAATTCTATGAATGAGGATTTGTGGGCATCATGGAGTTAATGATTATGGTTTTCCTCTGTGGGGTCCCCTGTCTATTCCCCTCAGGCAGGCAGAGACTGTCTTGTCACCTTGTACAGAGGCAGTCAAGGCCCAGCATCTGCCACAGAGCCCTGGCTTCATGTTGCTGTCACAGGGTTGCATACTGTGAATAGAAAGGTGTACACTAAGTGAATTTTTGAATGTGCACAAAACAGACATTGGGCAGTCTGTGACTGTCCCATCCAACTGTGCCTGTGAGAGCAGGAAGGTAGCACCATACCAACAGAACCATTGTGCACTCAGTACATCAAGATGGCTTGAGACGTGGATCATTGTTTTGCGTCTTCTGAGAAAGCAACTTTTATTCAATATAGTGAATGCCCAGTATGAGTTCAGAATCTCTCCCTAGGAGGTTAGGTTTTGTGTATATGGAAAACTATGTTTTAAAATTTTATTTTGAAAATTTTATTTTTATTATTACTATTATTATTATCATCATTATTGTTGTTATTTTTTTGAGGCAAGATCTCACTATGTAGCCAAGGCTAGCCTGCAACTCAACATCCTTCTGTCTCAGCCTCCTGAGTGCAGAGATTTCAGGAATGATGTCATTTTAAATAAGCTCGGCTATTCATAAACAAATTGGGGGAGAGGAGAGCCAAGAAAAGGTAGTGGGGTGGTGAATGTGAGCAAAGTGCAATAATACATATGTGTGAAAATAGTTATAAAAATCATTATTTTGTACAGTAACTAGAAAAAGTAATATAAAAATAATCAACTGTTAAAAATAAAGAAATTTGAATATTAGGAAAAGTTAAAGGAAAAAAGCATGTTAACTGAATTCCCACTCTTCGCTTATTCGCCACTCAAGGTCCTGTCTCGTCCTTCCCAGGTGACCAGGCTTTTCTAACTGTAGAATGCCCTAATCTTCCAAGTTTAAGCTTCAAAATCTTTATAGAAAATATTGAATAAATTTGTTTTTTCAAGATAGGTCTCATTATGTAGCCCTGGCTGCCTGGTACTTGCCACGTAGACCAGGCTGGCCTCAAACTCACAGAGATCCACCTACCTCTGCCTCCTGAGTGCTGAACCACCACACCCATCATAGGAACTACTGAATGTAGAATTCTGTGCTTGTCAGTGTTGACTATGTTGATTGTGTATGAATGTATATTGGACCTTTTCTAAGAAGTATTCAAATAATCATAAAACATTTACCAGAATTTTACTGGGGGACACCCCATAAAACTGGGCTAGTTAACATGGAGAAGTGTATAAGATTCAGGTGACAGGTCCATGTCCTGAAGAGCTATAAAGTAGACCCCAGGAGACAGAAGGAACTCAGTCCCAAGACTAGAGTTCTGGGAAATAAAAAGACAACACAATTGTGTTTGTGGGGATAAGGTGAATATTTAGGGCCATAAAGCCCATGCTTCCTTTGTAAATTAAGACTGTGGTAACTCTGGGGCTGACCTGTCCAGAGAGGTCTGCCCAGCTGTTTCTGCCTCAGTTGGTCAGGCTTTTGAAAATGAGTTGCTCAGCTGATATTTAGTGCTAAGGTGAACTGGAGAGATCTGGGTGCTTCCCAGGAGCCTTTGAAGGCCAACATTTGTGCTTCCTGGGGCCAACCATGAATGGATAGGTCCTTTTGGATACTTCTGTGGCAGTGGAAGAGTAATAGGACTACCTGCTATTTTCTGAAAGCCCAAGCTATTTGTGATAGGCCTCCCTGGTTCTTCCAAGAATATGGGAGGAAGTACAGACCTTGAACCTGGTTTACAAGAGTATGGCATGGATGCCTGTCTACCTCTTAGGATCCTAGCTGGTCAAGACCTTGGGATGGCTTATGTGACAAAAGCTTTAGGGTATGGCAACAACACATATGGGCTCTTCTCTTGGGTCACATGCAACTCCCAAACTGGACCCAGGGACTCCAGGAGTAAATGCTTCAGACATGAGTATGGCATAAGTGGTGACTGCTAGGGACCTCTGCTTATGCCTTTCCCATTGAGTGACATCCTCTAGGCATCCTCAGAGTCAATCTTCATAGAAGGAAGGGTCTGACTGTCTGCTATGTGTTGGGATTTTTTATATGGCCCTTACCAGTCCCACTGCGCCTGCTCTTCTTACAAACTCTTAATTATTGAGATAAATGTAGTGTGTTAGGAGGTGCTGGAGTGCCAACAGGGAAGACCATTACAGACCCTTGTTTATCTCCTGTTTACAGAGCATTCCTTCTCTAAAAATTCTTTTTCTAAAGTTGAGAAATATTAAATATACAAATGTACAGAGAACAAGGTCATGTCATGGATGGCCCCAGGCTTCCTAAGCACATTGTGGCTACTAAGGCATGACACCATGCCCAGCCCTCATATGCCATTACTTTATGTATCACTGGAGAAACTACTCTTTTTTAAGGGTCCAGATGCTTCAATATATATAAAGTTACTGTGATTATGCCCTGTACCCTTCTCTGTCTGGGGTTCTAACACTCCTGGTACAATAGCTGTTCCTATATTTTTTTGTCATTGCTGGCAGAACCTGAGTCTTCAGTTCTAACAGACACCCTAAAGAGCTTCCTAGAACTCAGTTTTATTGTTTGTAAATTTGAGGGTTTTACCATTAGGCCTAAGTCTTTTCATGGCTGACCACTTAGTAATCCATTCATTTTAAGATCTGTAACAAAATTAAATAAAGGAAAAATTACAGCTGATTTAGAAGGCATTGTATATGGTTCCTATGTTGTAGGTTCTGGTGACCCAGGACCCTATTGTCTGTAGACACGAGAGGCCACTGAAGCCTCTTGTTGACCCGCCATCAGCTGAGACTCTTGTGAACAGGTAGAATGAGGACCATGGACATGGAGCGAAGAAGGTAGACAGCTAAGACATAGACAGGCATTTATTCCAGTTGGGTAGCACCTACCCTCCTCATGTTCTTTGTGTTACAACAGAAAAAGAGACGTTACCCAGGACAGTTGTGGCTTATGGTTTTTGATATTTTTTTTTTACTTAATTGAATATACATCCCAAGGCACTCATTCGTTTTTTAAGCTTTTATACCATAAAATGTGTTTGGCCAAGTGTTGATGGCAAAAACCTAAGAGCAAACTTCAGACTAGGACTTTAGAGCAGTGTCAGAGAAAGTGAGGCCTTGCCTGTGAACTCTACACTGACAGTTTAAGAAAATGGATTATCTGATTTCTCGTAAAGAGGGGGTAGCCTGGCATGAAGGAGATGATAAAAGAGAACAGTGTCACCAAAGCTTTCCTCTCCATCCCCTGTACTCAAGAGTCTCACCTGTGTGATACCCTCACAGTCTTCACCCTTCCCTTTCTGCTGCTGACCCCCTCACTCCTACTCTCTACTCCCCTCTTACCTGTCTCCCTTCCTTGCTCCATGTGTATGGCCCGCATTCTACCTGTCTATGCCTCTCCTACTTTTTTATACTCCTTTTGCCTGTATAAAATCCCTCTGACCTGTCCATGGCCTTCTCTCTTAACTGCCCATGCCCCTCCTGGCTCTTCACACCCTTCTCTCTTGTTATGTTCCTGCCTGTTCACACTTTTTACAGAATTCTTACATGTCCCCTTCCTATTTACAGCTTCCCTTTTTATCCCCCTTCCTTTCTCTTACCTGTCCACACTCTTCACTCTGCCTGTTCATTTTTTCGTACTCAGACAATACCCAAATGTAATTTCTAGAGCTGGGTTAGATGTACTTCCTTGTAAGTCTGTGGGGCCTTACCCTGTTTGGAGCACTTGCCTTGTGGCTGCTCTGCTGTCCTTGACTCAGCTTCTTGAGCATCAGTATAGTGAGTGTCTTCAAGACTGCGGTTACCTAGCCTCATGTGAGCAGATAGTGTAGGCCTAACTTTACTGACTTGACCTCGAACATCAATCCGGAGACTCCTCTTCTCAGCCTGGGCCCTGTGGGATATACTAAGGTTCCTACACATGAACTTTCTTCAGTTTGAGCCTAAACACACCTGGATGGTTTCCCCCTTATTTCTTACCTACTCCCCTAGTTTTCCTCCAGGAGCTGAGATTTGGCACCTTAAGTCTTCACTCTCAATGCTTGCTCTGCGTGGATAGTTCTGTGAGGTTCTCTGCTGTGTGTTTGCATACTCCTGGTGTTCCTACCTCAGTCAGCTTGTAAAGTGGGCTGCTAAGGATGTGCTGCTCATGTGTTGGCTGAGGCTGCCTAAGAGAGGCTGGCAACTCAGCATTTCTGATCTGCCCTGCAGTTCTTGTGCTTCTGATGTGGTCACTGGCTATTAAAGGCACAATAGGATTGTCTGTAACTTAGTATAAGTTGCTTGGCAACAATAAATGAAACTATTTCTTTAAAAAACTCTTTTCTTTGAAATTTTGAACTTGTCTTATTTTACTAAATACAGTGTTTTCAGAGTTTATACACATTGTAGAAAGTAAAGAGCCTTATTCCATTTTAAAGCTGGAAAACAGTCCATCCTGTGTGTTCTCTCCGCATGATGTTTTGGTAACAGCAGGTCCTCTTTACCT